AAGATTAGCTCTTTCAATGAGACCTAAGGCCAGTTGCTCAATTCCTTATAAACTGGTCATTCTTGCTGCACCAGGAGAACAAGCTGAATATTGCAATAATTTCCCTTAATTATTTTGCTCTTGATGATGTAAAGATATCTTCCAGTAGGACCACATGGAGGATGAGAACAAAGCCCCCTCAGTTCATTGGTATTTTGTGTGATAACAGAGGATGTTTAGATAGGGAGCATGAACAATATAACAAAATCTTCTGAAAAAACAACTATGCAGAGGGGCTCCTTTTGAAAAGAAACTTCCATACTGATACCTGTGAGACAGGACAGCAAATCTCTGCTTATGTGAAGCAGCTGAAACTGCGTTATTGCAACTGGGGAGGAAATCATAGAGTAACTAATGAATGATTCATATTAGAATCACTAAGACGAAGATTTTTAAAAGATGTTTAGACAATTTATTTCTGTTGGGCTGAGTAGCATTCCCAAATTCTGTTCTAAGATCTGTCCCTTAGGTCTGCTATGGATGATTTGCAATTCCACTTGTTTCACATTTGATTAGTAACTTGTGTGAGTTAAGAATCCAGTGCAACATGAACCATCCCTGGCTGCTCGTGAGGAGACTTCTTTGTACAGCAGATAAAAGCTTCCAGTTCTGTGATCTATGGGAGAGACTGGCTGGGCTTACAGAACAACACATCTCCAGTTTGAGAAGCGAAACTTCAAGGGCGTTTGCCATCTTGTAATATCTGCAAAAGCTAACTGGAGCTTTTTATCCACGACCAAAGCACCACTGTGAGAGGAGCCTGCTTTATACTCTCTGATATGTTGTAGATGCACTGATGAGCTGCGGCTGAGCTCTGCTCAAAGCTGAACGAAAGCCAGCAAACATTGTTCTTCCACCAAGAGGCTCAAAGGGAGAGAGTCAGCTTCAGTACCTCCCAGCAAGCAGAACCCACAGAGCTGCATCTGTAGGACGAGGAGAGTTCACACATGGTGATTATTAACTGTCTCCCAGTAGCACCTGCCATAAGGAAAACCAGAGGGATATTAACCGTTGAAGAGTAGATTAGGGGCTCCTGAGCAAAAGGATGCAATGCTACAAAGCAAGGAGAGGAACTGGGCTCTTGCCCTTGCTTTTGTATTCCTCCCTTGGATGGGGGAGCAGGTGCTGGGAAGGCTGTGGGAGGTGGCTGGGGAGTGGTGCTGCTGGTCAGTGGAGGAGGCTGCCAGGAGATCTCTCAGGAAGCAAGGACAATTGATTTTTAGCTGTTACAGCTATAAAATTATAGGGATGGATCTCATCAGATACAAATAACTGTATTTCCTCTGAACAGTACTAGCTGAGAATCAGATCTTACTTATTTGGAAATGTCCTCATTGACTCTTTGATGTTGTTGGAAAGAAGGCTGTGCATTTCTTTTGAATTGCAGAAAAAAATGCATTTCTCATTTAAGGAACACTGAGTAGCACTTTTCACGGCCGTTTATTTTCTCAGATGCAGCCTGTGACTTGGTCCAAGCAGTTCAGCTGCAAGGAGGTTAGAAGTAAGGGCAGGACCAGGAGCAAAACGTCCAGCTAAGGAACTTATTTGACAAAACAGTAATCCCACGATGACTCCAGCTAAAGGGCTTCGTTTGTTTGAGTACACAGAGCCACTAACTGTCATGCCAAGGCTGCATACAGATGCCAGCAGATACCAGCTAAGCAGAAGGACTCCGGGAATATTTTCTGCTTGGCTACAAAGGAGACCATCCAAAACTGGTCTTAAACTCACCTTTTATGTTCCTGGCAACAAAGACATCTCTGCCTTTTCCCTTCTTTCCCTTCTTCCCAGCATGGCACAAGCCATGGCCCACTCAGCATTAGCACAGGAGACTCCCTCTGCTCCAGCTGTTTTCTAACCTCCTTTATCCCAGAAGCTCAGGAGACACAGAATTCTGGCCTGAGCCCAGAATTCAAAGCTGTTGTGAGCTGCTCAGTGTGGTTATCAACGCCTGCTAGCATGAGGTGCAATTCAGCCATAAAAATTTCTGCAAAGTCCAACCTGGCAACGGTGGGTTTAAGTACAGGAGAGTCAGGCCTCCCAGTAAATGGCCTCATTCACTCTGGGGAGAGGCAGAAGGATGAGATTACATGCTTTCTTTTGAGTAAGGACAAGCTCAGACCCTGTGGTTGCAGGGCTGGGAGTGGCAGTGCTGCCATGGAAGGGTTGGGATGGAAAGGCTGGAGAACTGAAATCAAGACTTTGTTTCTCTGAACGTTGCTTCCTCTCCACAAACTTGTTTCCCTTCATGACTGCACTTCCTACCAGGTGATTTTAACCCTTCATTAGGCAGTGTGGAGCTCTTTTTCCCAATGGGACTGACTTCCCCTGAAGAGCTGTTTGAGCAAGGGACTGACCAACCTTTGTCAGTTTGCCTTCCATAACTTTTCACTCCTCTCTGTTTTCTCCAGCACTCCTGCCCCCACAAAATCATGTGCTCTATTATTTGCATAAATCATATTCAAAGTGAAACAGTTCCATTTCTGTGAGCAAATATTCATGGCATTTGATTCATTATTATTTTTGGTGAGGAATTCGCCCGACTTTAGTGATGTCAACAAGTTTGCCAAATTCCTGCTCTGGAGCTCATGGTCAGATCTTCATCTTCCTTGCCTGTTTCTCTTTCCTCCTGGGCTCCTCACTGCACTGATGCTGCTGTCATGATGAAGGACCCACTTACAGGGTTATTGTCTTTCACCAAGGGCAAATAGACCGTATCTAATGGTCTATCCATGTATGTGCACTGGGTTTCTTATGTGAGTATGGTAACTTAAACAGAAAATGATTTAATAGTTTTCTGTTTTTTACAATCAGAAAATCAAATTCATATGTGGTACTGCTGGGAAGGGAAACAGAATTGCACTTTTTGACAGTTCTCTTCTGGTTTATTGTGATGACCATACCAAGTGGATATGGATGTACATGAACTCCTACTCCTGATTTAGAGAAGGTGGTGACTTTATAAGTAACAGAAGTAACTTCTTTAAGTAGCCTCCCATCACCCCACATCTGAAACACAGCCCTGTGACTTCCCCAGTGGGATGCAGAACGGGTAGGAAGAATTTGCAGATCAGCTGAAATGCAGTTTCCACTGCTGTGAGATGTGTTTGCCAGAGGTTAGAGCTGGCTTCTCCCAGTGGCTGGAAATGATGTGTGTAAAAGTTGGCAAGGTATGAAATGGAAGAGAGGAGTTTTGCTGATGGCTTGGACTCCCTTATCTGATTGCAGCACCAGGTTGGGTGCAGCCAGAGTGGAGGGCAGTGGTGCTGTATTGCAGTGCGTGTAACCTTGTGGCTCTCCTTGCTCTGAGGGAAGCCCTGCTAGAACATACCTTTGCTGCAGCCATAGCACATTTCTCATCTTCCTACATAACCTCAGGTCTAGGACTCACACTATGCTGGGAAAGAAACTTGGACTATGGACTCTGTCAGCTCCTCTGAAGCAGTACCTTATGCATGGAAAACAAGATGTCCAATGGATGGGAGCAGTGACATTAAGCAGGGTGGATCTGAGGATTTTGAGCATCAGTGGAGGCCACAGCAAGGCCCAATGTAAATAGAAACAGCAGGTAACTGCTTGACTACCTGGCACCATCACTCACTGCTAAGAACCCCTGTGTCTATAGACGATACGAGGATTTTCCTCCTGGCTGCAGGCCTACCCATGCTGGGATTTATAATGGCCTCCGCAGATCTTTTTGGTACAGTATCTGCACCAGGCAGATTTTCCCTTGGCCAGCTCAGGGAAATTTTATGACCCCAGATGCTAAACATTCAGAGCCTGGATTAGGCAGAAAATCTACTCCACCTTTTTGTTTTCCTCCTTAAAGTTGTCTGGAAGAGAAAGTCTGGACCGACCTTGCTGCACAAATTTCACACCTCCCAGGCTCTGCTTTTGTGACCTGGCCTGCATGGTCAGAGCCCCTTCTCTCCATAGTGGCACATGTCACAGCAGACTGCATTGCTTAGCTGTAACCCTCGGCTACTCAGGCACAAAGGGAAGCAAGTGCCAGGTTGGTATATTGAAGAGCCATGTGTAAATTGCACTTTCTGTGTCGCCTTCAGTGATTTAAGAGGCAAAGCATAGCACTGTGGTTACTGGCATGTTGTGTGAGTGATAAATGGTGTCATTGTTTCAGTTATCTGCAGGCTGCTGGTGACTGGTGTGAACACAAAGGCTGGGATTCTGCAGGGCTTGCTGTGGTTGTAAAAAGCTTGGGGGTAGGGGATGAAGAAAAGGAAGTAGAGGGGGTGAAATGAAGATGCTTGTCAGCATAGCGAGGGCTCAAGCATCAGAGTTATGCATCATGCCTTAGGCAGCTACAAGTATTCTGCAATTCACTTGAGAGACATTAGATAATGGCTTTTGTGAGGGAAGAAACACCATGGACTTTCCCCACCCCTAAGAGAAAGAAGCTCTTAAGGAAAATCTTGTGGCAGAGCAGAAAGCTGACTGAATCAATGCTGGCATTGCTGCTAGCTACTCAAAGCTCCAATCTTTTCTTGAGCTTTGTCTGAGCCAGTCTGCTGTGATCAGTTATAAATAACTGCAGATGACAGTCACAACAAATAGGGACCATTGCTTGGTTCAGCTAACATCAGACCTGATTAAATCAGCTGGGAGTTGTTTTTTTTTCTGGCATTTTCAGCAGGATCAAAAAAAAAAAGAGTGAACTCTGGTAACATGGCCCTTGGCTGAAAAGTGCTGCTGTTGACCCTAAGTGTTGGTCTCCAATCTGAAGCCACAGCCTTCTTGCCCTGATGGTACAGGAGTCATCAGATGCTTTTAACAATCTTAGAACGCTTCCGTGCTTCCCTTCATCTTATGATTTGTGCCCCGCACAAATCTTCACAAAGCTCAGCCCCAGAGAACTCAGACAGTTCAGACAGTTCAGAGCAATGAGTGGCTGGAGAAAGGCCAAGCACGATCCCAGAATCAGGAATGCTAGGCAGTAAACTCACCACAAGCACCTTCTCCCTTGGGGCCAGGCTTGATAGGACGCCGTGGTGGGGGAGAGCCATTGTGAAGAACCAAAGGAGTCCCTACAGCACCTGCAAAGAGAAAGGAATAAACTTCTGTTATTTATAGCAGTGACCCAGATTGCTCTGTGAGGGCACAAATCTGGCACAAGAGGTGGCCCCGTCAGCTAAGAGGATATTGAAGAGTGGCTGGGAACATAACCCATCTGGCCAACTGCTGGGGGGAAACTATTCCAATCTGGTGTCCCGGTGGCTCTGACATGAAATAGTGACTGACCCCCATGGGGCATCACCCAGGAATCGTCTGGTAAGTGTCCACTTGAGAAGTGTCCAGTGTTTGAGTAATTATAATTGCTGGTGCCTGGAACATAGCTTCCCTCTGGCCATACATGAGTGGACTTGCAGCCTAATTTCAGATACAGCTTAATTCTGCAGACCAGGCATTAAAGGAAAGCCTCCCTGCTTTATAAAATATGTTTTTCATGGAACCTTTCTCAGCAAGGTTATGGGCCTGACTCAGTTGTCACTGAAGTCAAGCTAGCACTGAAGCCATGTAATCGCATACATGATTTTTTTTCCTAAATAAACACTTTATTTCCCATTTCCCCTGAACTCTGCTAAGACATGGATGAGTGCCTGTAGCATCTGTCCGTCCTCACACCAGAAAAGCTGAACATAGGTTGAAGCAGAGCAGACAAGGCTCCTCCTAGCTACTATAAGCCTTTTTTTTTTCCCTAATCAACCCTTCAGCAGTGAGGATTTCCTACAGTGTGAAACAGGATCAGTGCAGCATGGGGTCTAATGGGGAGGGAGCTGCTCTGCTCTCCCTTCCATTCTTCCACCGCATGAAAGAAGTGCTGGGGCTCTTTCAAGCTGCATCCTTCTCCACCCCCTCCTTTACCCAACTGCAATCCCAAACAGAGACCCTCGAGACGATACCAAATAAAGAGCTCTCTCATGGCTGAGAGCCTGAAACCAATTAGAAACTCTCTCTGCTATAGGCACTGTGCAGTCCTGGTCTCAGAGATCCATCCTGAGAAAGGTTTTCTCTGTTCCCAGCCTCACGTAGCAGCATGCTGCCTAGGGCTTGCCTGGCTCACACTGCTACAAAGAGCCTTCGAGCAGCCAGCGAGCTGCCCTGCAGTACACAGTGCATTAACAGAGCGTGTCCTTAAAGGTCACCTGGGATCATTAGACCACAGAGCACTCTGGAGCTTATTAACAAAGCCTTTCTAGGACAATATCTTGGTTGTGGACATGATGTGAATTAGATAGTTCAAAGGAGAGGTCAGTAAATCTACCAAAGTAGACTTATATGCTCTTGGTAGCATCTGCATGCTGCTCTGCCTTTATCAAAGCGTCCTTCATCCATCCGGGGGTATGGCTTTCTTTTTAGGAGAAGGGCTCCCAAAAAGCACTGGGACACCAACAGGAATGGTGACATGGCCAAGGCCATGCTGAAGGTTTGTGGCAGCTGTCAGCTCGTTAGTTTCCACACTACTTAGGGAACTTGACCTAACCTTGCTGTGCACTTCTTGCTAGGACAAGCTACTGCACAGGGCAGGATTAGCTCTTGCAGCTGGTGCCTGTAGAAGCAGACCCATAAAATTGCTCAGTGTTGAGTCACAGAGTTGTAGAATGGCTTAGGTTGGAAGGGACCTTACAGATCGTTGAGCTCCAAGCCCCTGCTGTGGGCTGGCTGCCCAGGCCCCATGCAGCCCGTCTCCTCCAGCACCTCCAGGCATGGGGCATCTTTACACAAGACTGGACAAGCATCCTCTATTTAACAGGCTTTTTCTTTACCTCTTGCAGAACTTTGCCAAAGAATTTGTGATCAGCGACCACAAAGAGCTGGATGAGGACTACATCAAGAACGAGCTGAAGAAGGCCGGGGGGGCTAATTATGATGCACAGACTGAGTAACCACAGGAACCTCCTGGCACCAACACCCGGATCTCCAAGGGAGGGGAAGCACAGCAAACTAACACAGCTGAGAGATGAGGCAGCTGAGCCCCCAGCTTTCTGTGTGCACTCCTCAGAACTCCCTTTCTTTGAACAGCGGACTTCTATTCTCCATTCCATCTCATCAAACATTCCTCTTTGGGGTTCTGTTCCCCCCCCCCCCTTTTTTTTTAACTCATAACTCTTTCCATGTTCTCGCATCTGTGGAATTTAAGTTTTGCTCTGCTTTGGTCCATATTCAGCACTGTGTTTGTAGCAGCTTGCCATCCTGTCTTTCTTTGTCTGCATGCATGTGTGTATGTATTATTTAGTTGGGCTCAACCTCTGAAGGGAGAAAGTTTTGGGGGAGTTGTGATCATGGATTCTTTTCTTTGTTTTTTTTTTCTAATTGGTTCTCACTGATACTTTTGGGAATGATATTTTTGTCTGATCTAGGCTCAGGTCAACACGAGTTGAGTGCACTCCAACTTTGATTAAACTGTCTAAGCTTCAGCATCCAGCTCAGAACTGATCTAGCAGCTTAAAGAACAAAGTGAACAAACAGCAAACCTTCATCTCTTAATAAATGGGAATAAATTTGCCTTAAACACTGCTTGACAGTTGCTATGCTACGTGCTACATCTCTACCCCTCCCTCTTAAAAATAAGATCCAACGCGATCCGAATGTGGGGGTTTTGTTCTTTTCTGAAGGTATCATGGCACAGTAAACCGGGGGGGCTTAGAAATGTCTGAACATTTGTTCACTATTTTGTGTACTTTGGTCTCTGGGTTTGTATTTGACTTTCCAAACGCTGGGGCTCAGGAGGTGAAGCCGAAACGCGTCGATTTCCTTTTGAACATCTGCATAAATGGCAGCCGCTGAATCCTCGCAGCCTCCTCTGCCCGTGAGCCCATCTTTGCAGCTCAACCCAACAGCCTGAGCGATGCGGGGCCGCAGGCAGTGCCTCCTGCACTGTGACCGAGGGATGCAGCATGGAGCTCCGTCCCAGCCAGGCTGAGACACCCAACAGCTCGGGCTCAGAGATGACCTGGGCGCAGTTTGTTTGGTACCAAACTGTCAGTTTGGGGGCTTCTCTGTATGGCTTTCTTTCTTTTATTCCATCAAAGGTAATGGTCCCCAGAATCATGTGTAGGGGAAAACTGTTGTACTGAGGCTTGGAAGTCAGCGCTATAAACCCATTATGGAAATAAATGTTTTTCAAGAACAGTTCTCAGAGGCTCTGTCGTTATTCTGTCTTCCCTGCAACAACAACCCTGTATTTAGGAGCTCTCTTAATCCTCGGTGTAAGGCTCTGAGCTCTTGCAACCTCAGTGCTATTGGGAGAATTAAACATTGGCTTAAATGTAAAATAATTCTGGTGCCTACAGCCCTTGCCTGCTCTGAAAGCAAAGAGGTGACCATGGCACATCTGACACACTTCTGTTCAGCAGCTCTGTGCCTACATTTCCAGCACCAAAATGCCAAGTGGAAATTGTAATTAGGTCAAAGAGAATTTCACACCCATGTAAAATAACCATAGAGAGCTTGGGAGCAGATCTGGGAGTAAGAATGACACTTGGAGTGAAGCTGGGAAGTTTCCTGCACAGACTTCCATGGGGCATTACCATTCTGGGACCAACCTTACTGAGCTTTGCACTGAAAGGAGGGAAATAATGGTTATTTTAACAGGGCTGACAGCAAAGAGAAGCATAACGAAAGGGAAAGAGCTTTGCAGAGAGCCTGAGACACTCTGGGGCTTTGCCTCACTGCTTCAGTGGCCACAATAAACTTTTACGTGACAGATTGTGGGGTACAACTGAGAATTTCTACAGATTATCAAAGATTTGTTTTCTCTGTTGGGGCCATTCTTGCCCAGGGCTGACAGCCCAATGCTGATAGAGCTGGGAGGGGAGGCACTCCAGTTGCCCTTGCCTTGGGTTTTCTCCTCACTTTGCAGTGGGTGTTCAGAGCATTCCTGCATGATAACCATCCCATTTACCTCAGTCATTCAAGCTCACAAATCCCACATTGCTCTCTGGATTGTCCCTGGGGTGTTCTCATGCACATGGTCACATTGTGACCACAGGAAGATGGGGATCACACTGTGAGCTCAGCAATTGCATAAGGAATATAGGATACTTCAGAGAAAAATGAGGAAGACAAGGAGCTACTCATCTGTGGTAGGACACCAGGACAAATCCTTATGGAAAAAACAAGCCCAGTGAGTGACACTGATAACAAACAACTAGTCATTTTACTGTTGTTTTCAGCCTCAATTTCATCTTCTCGGGTGGGTCCCCAACCACACCATCCTGCAAATGCTCTGAAGAACAGCAGCACAGTGGCAGCCAAGAGAATCACGGTCACACTTGTGGAACCTGCAGTCAAGTGCAACATTAGCTGTGTCACTAAGAATGCTGTGGGCGCATGCCCAGCCCCAGCTCTGCTCAGAGCACGTGAGCATGCCCCCCAGGTGGCTGCTTTGCAGTACCTGGGACAAAATCTCATTCAAGAATCTGCTATTCCCCTCCGTCTGTGTGAGTGATTTCTCTAAGAGCAATCTAAACTACAGAAATTAAATGGCTTTGCTTATAAAATGCTGCTGATACTTTGCCAATACTAAAAAAATTTTTACTTTCCTCAAGAGAGTGATTATTGGTAGGAAGTCAAACCCTTCCCAAGCCTGCAATGGGAGCAGCTCAGCGAGCACAGGGTGATGGGCCTGGGGAACTCACAGCCTCCTCTGCAGGCTGAAATCTACCTCTGGGCTCTGCTCTTCTTGGCTACAAAAGCACCTTCCCCACAGTGCCTGTACGCATCATCCTTCCCTGTTAATAATTAAGAATGCAAGAAAGAATTCACAGCCCTTATCAGAACTGTGCTGATAACACTGCATCCTGGAAGTTATGAGACATGGATTTGCCTTTTCATTTTTAAGGTAAAGTGCCCTGCTTTGCCTCCAGTTAGCATTTGCAACCTGTTTTTGCCTTAGCAGCCTCTCCACTGGGTTTTAAAGACCCTCTGCTGCACAAAGGCTTTGGGGCCACGTTCCAGGAGCCTACTGTGCCATATGTGCCATATGCCAGGGCTTGGGGCCAGGGGTGCCTCTGGCAGCAGCTGGGGCTGTGCC